GCCTTCCTGCAGAGCAAGCTCGACCGGGTGCTCTACATGTCCCAGCCGGACTACTTCAACGACGGAACCGGCCGGGTGTGCAAGCTGCTGAAGAGCCTGTACGGGCTGAAGCAGTCGCCGCTGCTGTGGTATTTGGCGCTCAACGACGTGCTGGTCGGCGCCGGGTGGAAGAAGAGCCAGGTCGACGAGGCTCTGTACTTCAAGGTCGGCGACGACGGAGTGGCCTGCTGGGTGTTGGTCTACGTCGACGACCTGCTCGCCGCCAGCAGCAGCACCGAGATGCTGAAGGAGTTGAAGGAGCTGCTGGAGTCCGCCTTCGAGCTTCGTGAGATCTCGCCGGTGCAGAAGTACCTCGGGCTGGAGATCGTACGCGACAGGTCGGCGGGGAAGCTGTGGCTGCACCAGCAGGGCTACGCCGACAAACTGCGTAGGCGCTTCATCGACGAGGAGCAGACCGGGCGCACCCCGAAGACGCCGGTCTCGGGTCGACGCCTACGCCGAGCTCACCTTCGACGACGAGGAGGCACAGGAGCGACAGGAGGAGGAGTACCGGCAGAAGGTCGGCTCGCTGCAGTTCGCGGCGACGACGACGAGGCCGGACATCGCCTTCGCATGCAGCAAGTTGGGGAGCGGCCTCACGGTGAGGAGCGACCAGCACTGGCGCGAGGTCGACCGCTGCCTCGTCTACCTCGCCAACACGCGTGACACCGCCCTGGAGTTCGGCGGTGGACCTGAGTCGCTGGAGCTGGTCGGCTACGTGAACGCCGACGACGCCGGTGACAAGCAGAACAGAACGAGCACGGGAGGCTACGTGTTCGTCTGCGGAGGGGCTGCAGTCTCCTGGTCGAGCCAGCGCATTAAGTGCGCGACCTTGTCGTCGACCGAGTCGGAGTACGTGGCAGCCACCGAAGCCGGCAAGGAGGGACGCCGACTTCGCTTCCTCCTTGCAGAGTTCCGGCAGCTGGATGCCGGGAAGCCGACTGTCCTCCGGGTGGACAACAAGTCGGCCATCACTGTCGCTGAGGGCATGGGGTTGACGGGCAACCTCAAGCACATGGAGCGACGACAGGCCTGGCTGCAACACATGGTGGGGCGCGGGAAGTTCTCGTTGAGGTACATCCCGACCACCGAGCAGCCGGCCGACTTCCTGACGAAGGCGCTGCACTATCCGGCCTTCAACCGGTGCTCCGTCGCCATCGGCCAGGTGCGCTTGGCCGACGTGGGCGACGAAGATGACGACGTGCAGCAGTAGGTGCCATGCCCTCTTGCATGGCTGGTGCGGTGGACGACGTGCTGTGTGTTGGGTGCACGTCGACGAGCTATTCTCCGAGCAGTGATGCCGTGTGGGCTGGGGGCCCAAGCGTGAACGCGGCAGGGGAGTGTCAACGGGAGTTGTTGTTGGCCCCGTCCTTGCTTGGGCGGAGCCGACTTCGTGGTTGGGTGTACGGGAGGTACAGCCGACTTGCAGCAGTGGTCGACGGGGTTGGTCGACTTGCACGGGGCCACTGCAATGCCGCCGACTTGGGAAGCCGGCGGCCGACTTCAACTGGTGGTCGGCGATGTGGCACGTCGACCTGAAAGTCGGCACCGACTTGCAAGGTCACCGACTTGCAAGGTCACCGACTTGCAAGGTCACCGACTTGCAAGATCACCGACTTGCAAGGTCACAGACTTGCAAGGTCACCGACTTGCAAGGTCGCCGACTTGCAAGGTCGCCGACTTGCAAGGTCGCCGACTTGCAAGGTCGCCGACTTGCAAGGTCACCGACTTGGGAGGTCGCCGACTTGCAAGGTCGCCGACTTGGGAGGTCGCCGACTTCAAGAGGTCGGTCCGGAAGTTGGCGCCGACTTCAGGGAGGTCGACCTGGGAAGTCGACCTGCGGAGGGCGTCGACTTGGTGACGCCGACTTCGGGTAGCCGACTTGGGTGGTCGGCTGACGACTGTGCTGGTCGACGTGGTTGCCCGGTCGACCAGGTTACCTGGGTGACGAGGTTCTGCGGAAGAGTGCGACGGTCGCCCAGGCGATGTTGGCGAGACTGACCTCGTTGGTGGTATCCTGAGGTCGACGTGGCAGATCAGGAGGAGTCGTCAGCACGAGGATGACTTGGTGTGTGCGTTGTGCAGGTGACGAGGCTCAGCACGCCAATCATCTGCGAGCACCTGCGAAGCTGGTGCGCTGCTGTTCTGCGGGAGCAATGCTGGCACGCCGTCGACCTGCAGCGTTGGCACGCCGTCGACTTTGCACTGCTGGAACGCGGCCGACCAAGTCGTGCTGGAACGCGGTCGACCATGCTGCGCTGGCAGTCGACCGACCTAAATGCTAGCTCTGATGTAGTCTTGTCTTGCCAACCTGATTGTACCATTGTTGTCACCTTTCTCTAGTGAAACTCTTGCCAACTTGCCCCGTGAACTAGCAAGCAGTGTGTGCACTAGGAAAACGACTAAGGACCAACGAACGCAGAGATCACACGAGCACCCGTGCCTAGCCCGTAGTCTAGCTCCCGTTGTAGTAGTTATCTCCGCAATGATAAGGACTCAAAGCACTGTCCAGTCAGTCACACGTAGCTAAATATGTGAAGTGGAATTTTGCATTCAGTTTTCCCTGAGCATGACACGCCAAAGCTCAGGGAAGCCAGCCGATCATGGTACTAAAAGAAACGTTCAGTTCGATGCTTAAACGACCGTTTACTGCTCTTTCTGTTTCTTTGCCTAAGTTGTGAGAAAATGGAATGGCGACAATGAGGAGGCATAGGTACTTTGATGAAGAAAAACTTAGCTGAAGCAACGCATGTTGTACGAGGCGCATGAGGGAAAGATATGGTAGGGAACGGAGAACGACCCAGGTGAAAGGAAGGGGACCTTCATTACCTCTGAGGACAATCTCTATGGTTTCGCAAAGTGAAACGGCGTGCTGGTAGGTGAGAATATGCGGAGCAGAAACCGCTAAACGATCTGAAACCACGTGACTGTGCATACCACTCTAGAAAAAGGGACGGCTTCGAAAACTAATGGAAGGGAAATAAGAGAAAACTCGCGAGGAGAAGATACGATAGGGTGAGGACAGGGGAGGAATACCAGCGGATCATTGGTGGTAACTGTTATGCAGTTTCGAAGAATAAGAAAACATGCGCTATTGATAAGAGTGATGCAGAGACTCGACGACTCGCATCGCAGAGCTAGTCTGTGAAGATTATGACTGAATGACTCTTTCCTAAGCATGAATGTGTGATTATGTTTTCCTTTAGTGTTGGGGAAGGTATATGTACGAGGACGAGAGAAACTGAGGGAGCATCAAAGGACTAAAAAACATAGGCGAAAGGAGGAATATGAGCGTAGTGCTGGAATGCAAGCCGAATTTAATGGAATGACCGGACCGGCCTTACCTCAGGCCTATTTCCTAGGTTTCGCAGATTGAGACGTCGCGAGGCTATGACGCCTAGGCGTGGAGTACTGAGCGCCAGTCACTCCAAAATGCGCTGTAGTTGTGAACTTCTAATGAGATGTTTATAAATTAGAAGTGAGGCAGAGGCCAAACGACGCAGGCTCCCACTGAGCGACTGTCGGAGAGGTATAGAGACGAACAAATAGAAAGCGAGACGAGGGAGGGATACTGCGGGATGACTATGCTAATTGCGACGCGGGTTCTGAAGATATTAAGCGTTTTGACTGTGCTAATTGCGCGACCTTAGTACTAACGCTGAGCCTAGACTCTTAGTACCCGACCATGTGAAGTGCTGACGCGATAAGACCATGCTCGACATTGTATCTGAGAAATCCAATTGAATGGTTTTGCAAGTGTTGAAATCCAATCGATTCGAAGGTGTTGAACACTATTCAGGGAGGTACCGCTGCCTCAGAAGTTCCGTCACGTGGGCGAAATTTAATATTTTGAGCGGCGAAATATTCCGCAGCTGTGTAGCAGGTAACGATTGTTTCTTGTGTCCTCGCAATTTGGGCCAGGACTCAGGACCTGCAGCTGTCAATCTTCACAGCAATGCTCGTTTTGGCGAGCAGATTCGGTGATTCGCGAAAAACGGGTGATCTGCGAAACGCACTTGCTCAATAGCTTGTCGGCCATTTCCTCCACACAATCTTCCACGCTTCCCGCTATAATAGACGCTACTACTAGGCCCTATTCGCCAGCAACTAAAAAGCGCCAGCAAGCACGGTTGTCGCCGTCCAGATTCGGTAACCGCCACTATCGCCACGCGTCGTGAGAAAATCCTGCATGTTAGTACTTTGAGCGCTGCGATTGGTGGGTTCGAATTGATGTCTCCCCTTCCAGTCTCTAAAAAACATCGCAAAACAGGGGGGAGCGGATTGTGACATGCGCGAATCTTGTTTGTATCTTCCTCGTCTTCCAGGGGTTGGGAATCATGCGAGAATGTTGCTCGCATGATTCGTGGGAGTGTTGTTAGAGTGTTGCGTGAGATGTGAAGTGGTGCGCGTGTTTCTGGGTGTTTGATGTCAACTACGCAGGCTCGGCTGGTAGGTTTGGTGGCAGCGAATTGTTGATCGCGCAATACGGTTACCAACTAGTTGTAACACGAAGTGGTCTTATTTGTAGTGCGTCTAATTTATCTCTTTTAGTAACCCTGCTGGATATATTAAATGTGTGGACTTTTAGGTTTTGAAAATGGAAATCGTACCCTCGCGGGCGTATAGATTGTTTATTAGGTGTTAATTCTATACTTAATAGGTGTTTGTAATTGTTTTTTTTGTTGTCCATTGTGGTATGGATATTGTTGTTCATGGTAAGAACTGAATAAAGGAGGGATTATATCTGTTTTTACATATACATTTAACAATGTTGAAGTATGTACCTGAACACAAACGTATTTTTCCCCCACTCACTTTTACAGCATTCAGGACATGCTGCCAACACTGAAATCTGATACTACCAGAAGGACTGTTCTGGTTACGATGACAGGTGGCGATCCAGATGTCATCAGAATTATCGACCCTGAGTGCTGATTGGGTACATCCAACCGCCTACCCAGATGTCGCCACGCGTAGGGTTTGTACGGTGGGGAGGCCGTCTCCCGTTTTTGAACTCGAGCCGTTCAGGGCGTCTCCGAAAAGGGTTGCCGACATCCGTCGACGAATGCCGGAGAATCGCGACGGTTGAAAATTTCGAACTGAAGGTTAGGATTGACCGACATGACTAATCGCATGTCTAGGGAGTGTCCGAATCAGATTTCGGACACGCCCTGAAATTTGAATAGTCGATCCACTTCGGAGCAGGGTCACAGGGGTCGTGGGAACCCCTCGTCATGTTGTTTAGTCTGTTCCAGCCTTTCCCGTTTTTGATATTCGCCTAGTCCCTGCTTGGCTCCGCCTTCAGATGCTCCTTGTGCCTGCTCAGCACTTGGTTTTTTAAACTTCGCAAGCCCATACAGTAGCTGATGCGGGAAGCGGTAGTCACTACGGTAAATTAATGCATTCGTTGTTCCTACTGCTGTTGTTTTGTTGTCCGCCATCTTCGTATCTTCTAGCGCGCATGTCAATATCATTTTAGGGTGCACCTGTTCTGATACACTCTTTGCGCCTAAGTTGGTTTCTGCTCAACGCTATCCGGGATCACAACCGTTTGTTTCTTGTCGTCGCAGAATTCGCATTGAGCCACGCAACCAGCGTATCGAAGGCCATCCCCACTCCCTCACGCAGCAGCCTGCAGTCCGCCAACGCTTGTTCGGATCCTTCGCGCGACAACTGCGACGTCAACTCCTTACGCTGTGGTAAGCTCGAGCTCACTTGTTGACTAAGTTTCTGGTGTTTTTGCGCTTTTTTTGTTTTTTATCTGCTATTTCATTTTCTGGTGTTAGGATTTCCATGTATATTTGTATCAATGTCACATGTTCTCAGGCCGGCCTCGATCTAATGCCCCGTCACGTACTCTTACACACTCTATTGCGCTTGCAGGTTCAGCTTCCAACCGCCCAACGGGGTTAGACATCGCCATCAACAACCGCCACGCAGCAGCTTCCGTACCGCCCTCTACTGCAAGAGTTTTGACCACTAGTTTAGATTGAAGTGGAATTCGTCTCTGTCTGGTGCACAAGTGTGTGTACACTGTAATGTTATAAGGATTTTTAAGATCCAACTCCTTTTTGTTATGGCTGACCAGGAAGGGCTGTACACTTGTGACCAGGATGGTTGTAGAGTCACCTTCAAAACCTCACTTGACAAGGCACATCACCTTGCTCGTGGGCAGCACGTGTATCGCGACGCAGGAGAGACTTCGTCACGAGCTCCTGCTGGTGGAGGAGATGCGGAGTACGCAGCCAGACTTCGTGAGGCTGGTCAAGCCTTAGAGAACCAGAGTAGAAAAAGGAGAAGATCAGCAGCTGCGCAAGAGGCAGATTTTGCAAGCCGACCGCTGCCTCAGGCGGATAGCGCACAACCAAACGCCGATACAACCGGATACGACTTCTCCCCACGTGCTAACCCAACGGTAGTGGACATCGATTCTCGGCTCTTCAGATTCTGCAAAACGGCGGCGGGTGGAGTGGGACTTTCAAGAGCAGACACAAAGGACCTAATCGACATCGTCATTGAAGCTCTTGAAAATCCCGGCAAAGTGAACCTGAAGTCTTTAGCTGAATTCTGCAGGTACGAAGAGGCTAAGACGGCAGAGGCAGATCTTACAGGTTTTTTGAAGGTGGACGTGAGCAAACCTGGAGATTCAAAACCAATATACTTTTATTGGAGGCCGACAATGTCAGAATGTTGTATTTGTCTAGCCTGCAGTGGGGTACTCTATAGCGAGTACAGCCCAATCTAGGGTTTCCTATATGTACTCAACTGCTTGCTAGTGAACCTCCTCCTTTCTTCATTCTTACTTTCTACTGCTAGTTCTGACATGCTATCAGAGCAGGTCGATCCCCTTGGGTCGATCCTGTGGGTGGGCCCACCACCTCACTGCTTCCGCTGCTACTGCTACTCTGTGTGTTGCACGCCCCGTGGCGTGCGACGGATTTTTCATCCCGCCGCGCGCTCGGAGCGTGCGGCGGTTTTCTGCCCGCCGTGCGCCCCGAGGCGCGCGGCGGTTTTCTGCCCGCCGTGCGCCCCGAGGCGCGCGGCGGCTTTCTGCCCCGTCACTCCGCGCGTCGCTCCCGGGAGGCGCTGCGACGGGCGACGGGGACCCGCGCGTCGCCCCCCGTCGCCCGTCGCGGCCTGCGCGACCTGCGTAGGGCCCGCGCGCGGCCCGTACAGCCTGCGCGCGGCCCGTACGGGCTGCGCCAGGCCCGCGCGCGGCCCGTACGGGCTGCGCCAGGCCCGCGCGCGGCCCGTACGGGCAGCGCCAGGCCCGCGCGCGGCCCGTACGGACTGCGCCAGGCCAGGGCGCGCCTCGGGCCGCCCGCACGCGGTTCGTACGGGCTGCGCCAGGCCCGTGGGCGCCCTGTTTTCTCTGCCCCTGCGCTGCCCGCTGTCCCCCGTGCTTCTGACGGCGCCCCACCCCTGCTGCTGCCCGTTCTCCTGAATTAGGGTTTGGGGGTGGGGGGTATGGGGGTGCAGTTTCTGTGCGTCGTCCCCTACTCCTCCTCCTCCTCCGTCTCCCAGTGCTGCAGCTGCCGCTGAGGGGGGTGGGTGTGTGGGAGCCGAAGGAGTGGTACTAGGGGGGTGGCGTGCAAGTGGAGTTAGGAGTGAAGCAGTGGGTGTGTGGGGGGTGTGTGGGACAGTTGGAGGAGGTTGAGCGGAGGCTGCTGTCTTGTCGTCCGCAGCACCTGTAGTCCGGGGCGCACTGTCCTGGTAGCCCAGAGAGTCTGCTGCGCCTGTCGCCCGAGGGTCCGTTGCTCCTGTAGCTCGTCGTAGCCCGTGAGCCAGTTACTCCAGTAGTCCGGGGCGCACTGTCCCGGTAGCCACTGTGCCAGCAGCTCCTGTTGCCCGTGTGTCTGCAGCTTCAGCCGCCGTCTCTCATCTTCTCTCCTCTCACAGTCCCTCCTCCTCCTCACTTGCCCGCTGTGATTACCTCTAGCTTTGCTTCTTATTGTGAACTCCTGCTATACCTGCTCATTGTGCTGATTACACCCCACTTTGGCTATGGGGGTGTGTCAGAATGTTGTATTTGTCTAGCCTGCAGTGGGGTACTCTATAGCGAGTACAGCCCAATCTAGGGTTTCCTATATGTACTCAACTGCTTGCTAGTGAACCTCCTCCTTTCTTCATTCTTACTTTCTACTGCTAGTTCTGACAGACAATGTCGTGTGTCCGTGGATTGTATCAGAATCCTGCAAATGCATATGGTTTTGTCGTCGAGCCGGAAGTTTTACCAGAAAATGCTCGTGTTATTTATAAGGGGCCAGAGACTGGATCATGGTGGCGCAGTGTACAATCCAAATTGGATGAAGGAGAAGTGATAGCGGCGGTAATCATTTATTCCGACGAGACAACACTGACGACGGATGGTGGTGTTGTCGGATGGCCCGTGTACGTTTCACTGGCAAACATATCATCGGCGAATCGCTGGAAATCACATGGCCACCGCTTGTGTGCTCTTCTACCAAAGATTGACAAGCAGACGTTATCAAAGGCCGAGGAGACGCGACGGCGACACGAGGTGTTTCAGGAGGCTTTACGACTAATACTGGAAAAACAGTGACAGGTCGAAAATGTCAGATTTATATGACATAGCTACTGTAGGCTAGAGTGGGGTAGCACATATGGGGTACAGTTTTCTAGGGTTTGCTTCTTGTACCCAACTTTCACTTAGTCATTCTCATTCCTGTTTTTCTTAATTCACATGGTATAGAGCGGGTTCCTACATGGGACCGTTCCTTCCTAAGGGCCCACCATAAGATTTTTTTTTTTAGCTGCCCGCGCACATTGCGCCCTGCCCTAATTTTTTTTTTTTTAGCGGCCCCTACGCTGCCTCTACGCGGCCCCTACGCCGCCTCCCACGCGCCCCCTATGCGGCCCCTGGCGGCGCCCTGACGAGGCCCCTGTCGGCGCCCTATCGCGGCCCCTGACGCGCCCCCTGGTGGCGCCCTGACGCGGCCCCTGGCGGCGCCTGACGCGGCCCTGACGCGACCTGCCGCGGCCCCTGGCGGCGCCCTGACGCAGCCCCTGCCGCGGCCCTGACGCGGCCCTACCGCGGCCCCTGACGCGGCCCTGACGCGGCCTGCCGCGGCCCCTGCCGCGTCCCTGAAGCGGCCCCTGACGCGGCCCTGACGCGGCCCTGACGCGGCCCTGCCGCGGCCCTGCTGCGGCCCCTGGCGGCGCCCTGACGCGGCCCCTGACGCGGCGCCCTGACGCGGCCCCTGCCGCGGCCCTGACGCGGCCCTGCCACGGCCCCTGACGCGGTCCTGACGCGGCCTGCTGCGGCCCCTGCCGCGGCCCTGAAGCGGCCCCTGACGCGGCCCTGAAGCGGCTCTGCCGCGGCCCTGACGCGGCCCTGACGCGGCCCCTGACGCGGCCCCTGCCGCGGCCCCTGACGCGGCCCCTGCCGCGGCCCCTTACGCGGCCCTGACGCGGTCCTGCCGCGGCCCCTGGCGGCGCCCTGAAGCGGCCCCTGACGCGGCGCCCTGACGCGGCCCTGCCGCGGCCCCTGACGCGGCCCCTGCCGCGGCCCCTGACGCGGCCCTTGACGCGGCCCCTGCCGCGGCCCCTGACGCGGCCCCGCCGCCTCCTCTCAGCGGCCCCGCCGCCTCCTCTCAGCGGCCCCGCCGCCTCCTCCCAGCGGCCCCGGACGCCGCCCTCTCAGCGGCCCCGCCGAGCCGCCCAGCAGCCTAGCCACCCAGCAGCTGAGCCACCGAGCCGCCCAGCAGCCGAGCCGCCGAGCCGCCCAGCAGCCGAGCCGCCCAGCAGCAGAGCCGCCGAGCCGCCCAGCAGCCGAGTCGCTGAGCCGCCCAGCAGCCGAGCCGCCGAGCCGCCCAGCAGCCGAGCCGCCCAGCAGCCGAGTCGCCGAGCCGCCCTGCAGCCGAGCCGCCCGAGCCGCCCTGTCCGGTAAGAGCAGCGCCTCTCTCACAGCACTGCCCTCACCCCACTGTTTGCGCTGCTAGTCTACTACTGTCATGGCTACCCCTAGTGTCCTCGCTTTTGACGCTGAGGGTCGGGCCATTGACTTTGACGTCTGGATAGATGACCTGCAGCTTTTCTTACAGTGCGATAGGGCAGACGGCCTCTCCCTCTTTGACCTCACTTCTGGTGCCTCTCCTGCTCCCGCCACTGATGCTGACGCAACTGTTCGCTCCCAGTGGGCCACGCGCGATGCTGCTGCACGTCTTGCTGTGCGTCGCCACCTGCCTACCTCTGAGCGTGCGCACTTTAGCCAGTACAAGAGTGCTCAGACCTTGTACGACGCTGTAGTTGCACGCTACTCCTCCCCTGCCACTGCTGCACTGAGCCGCCTCATGCTACCGTACCTCTTCCCTGACCTTGCTGCCTTTCCCACAGTCGCTGACCTCATCACGCACCTCCGCACTAGTGACACTCGCTACCGCGCTGCGCTTCCTGCTGAGTTCTGCGCCAAGAACCCCCCCCCCATGTACATCACCCTCTACTACATCGTCACCCGTCTCCCTGACTCCCTTCGCGTAGTCAGGGACCACTTCCTCTCGGTTTGTCCCACCACTCTCACCGTTGACCTCCTCGAGAAGGCCCTCCTAGCAGCAGAAAAGAGCATAGTCGCTGTAGGAGCCTCTCGTGGTGACCCTCGCACCCCCATCTTTGAGGGGTGTTCCCCCTCCCCTCTTTTGCCCTCTGTTGCCTCTGCTGCTGCGGCCGACCTCGCTGGTTTGGAGTCGGTTGGGGCAGCGTCTACCCCTAGCGGGAGACGCCGCCCTGGCAGGGGCAAGGGGGGCAGGGGCGCTGGAGGAGCTAGCGGGGGCGGTGGAGGCGGCGGTGGAGGTGGTGGAGGAGGCGGTGGTGGCGGTGGGAGTGGTGGCGGGGGTGGAGGTGTAGGTGGCGGCAGTGGAGGCGCAGGAGGCAGCGGCGGTGGCGGGGGGAGCGGAGGTGGCGGCGGTGGAGGAGGAGGCGGCGGAGGAGGTGGAGCTGGTCGGGGTGGCGCTGCGCAGAGGGTCAGCTCCGGTGG